TCTTGGAGCCAATCATTTTTTATTTTTTCATATTGTAAACAGTGTTTTGGTTTTGGCACTTGGAAACTCACAGGCCTTAGCATTTTGCCTATAGTACCAAATGGATAAAGTGAGTGGCTTAATCATTAATTCATAAGCTAATTTACATATCATGTATCTTATTAGAGTCAACTCTAATTTCATTTTATCCATAAGAGCAAGTTCCCAACAAACTTATAAGAACTTTATTAAACTGAAGAAAAAAGACTAAAAGTCTTTTAAAAATGATTTAAATACTGAGTAATCAAGGTTAGTAAAGATTAATGCATTATTTTTGGTGAAGTACTTTACCAATTCACCAATAAATATTTAGGAATTAGTTGTGGATTATAAGTTTCATTTTAATTTAAAGCATATTTATTTTATGAGATAGTTCCTAATATATTTGCCTACAAGTGTTTCACTGCTTTTCTGTGATTTGGATCTAAATAAATTTAAGCTTGAAACAATACACTATGAAAAAAATAGATTTTTATGACAGTTTCTTCTTGTTTCCCTTCAAAATTGTAGTAAAAAAGGAAATATCTGCTACATTTTTTATACTCAATATTATCAAAAGTCAAAACCAAGTTCTTGAACCTCTTTTCCACTTTTATATCCACAGATTTCTTATTTCTGATCCCCCAACCAAAAGAATGAAAGAGTAAAAAAAACAAGTTGAAAATAAATTAACTGAGTCTAATCAACAGAGAAAATAAAATAGGAAGTAAGATGAGGGAAAGAATTCAGTGTTAAGAGTGGCATAAGTTTACCCTTCCTATCCTTTACTACATGTGCTATTTTATATCTTCAAAACTTAAAGATTTTTCTTACTACTCTAACCATGAAACTCCCCTATTTAACATAGTATAAAGTGAAGTGTTAGTCATTCATTCATGTCTGACTCTGTGACCCCGTGGACTGTAGCCTTCCAAGCTCCTCTGTCCATGGGATTCTCCAGGCAAGAATACTGGAGTAGGTTAATACAGTTAGTTCTCCCTCAAACCAATAAAGGGATTTGTATATCTGGATTTGTCAGACTACTGTATATATAACCCATCTGATTTCTGGCTTAAAAAAGGTTTTTTGTCCTGGTAGTGTTTACCTGAGGAGTTGGTTCTATCAACATCTCCCACTGGTTTTCAAACTTTTTAAAATAGTGAAAAAAGGAAAACTTAATGGGTGCTATAACAGTGAGGCAGAGAAAATATGTCTGCTAGTTTATTAAATTTAACAGAAAGAATAATCCAAGAATGTTTTTTGGTTTATGCTAAACACAAGGACTGGATGAAGCACAAGCTGGAATCAAGATTGCCAGGAGAAATATCAATAACCTCAGATATGCAGATGACACCACCCTTATGGCAGAAAGAGAAGAAGAACTAAAGAGCCTCTTGATGAAAGTGAAAGAGGCAAGTGAAAAAGTTGGCTTAAAACTCAACATTCAGAAAACTAAGATCATGGTATCCGGTCCTATCAATTCATCTCTAATAGATGGGCAAACAATGCAAACAATGACACTTTATTTTTTTGGGCTCCAGAATCACTGCAGATGCTGACTGCAGCCAGGAAATTAAAAGATGCTTGCTCCTTGGAAGAAAAGTCATGACCAACCTAGACAGGATATTAAAAAGCAGAGACATTACTTTGCCAACAAAGGTCCATCTAGTCAAAGCTATGGTTTTTCCAGTAGTCATGTTTGGATGTGAGAGTTGGACTATAGAGAAAGCTGAGCACTGAAGAATTTATGCTTTTGAACTATGGTGTTGGAAAAGACTCTTGAGAGTCCCTTGGACTGCAAGGAGATCCAACCAGTCAATCCTAAAGAAAATCAGTCCTGAATATTCATTGGAAGGACTGAGGCTGAAGCTGATACTCCAATACTTTGGCCACCTGATGTGAAGAACTGACTCTTCTGAAAAGACCTTAATGCTGGGAAAGAGTGAAGGTGGGAGAAGAAGGGGACGACAGAGGATGAGATGGCTGGATGGCATCACTGACTCAATGGACATGAGTTTGAGTGAGCTCCGGGAGTTAGGGATGGACAGGGAGGCCTGGCGTGCTGCAGTCTGTGGGATCACAAAGAGTCAGACACGACTTCAGACTAAACTACAAAGCCACAGTCATCAAGACAGTATGGCACTGGCACAAAGACAGAAATATAGATCAATGGAACAGAATAGAAAGCCCAGAGATAAATCCACGAACCTATGGTCACCTTATCTTCGACAAAGGAGGCAAGGATGTACAATGGAAAAAAGACAACCTCTTTAACAAGTGGTGCTGGGAAAACTGGTCAACCACTTCTAAAAGAATGAAACTAGAACATTTTCTAACACCATACACAAAAATAAACTCAAAATGGATTAAAGATCTAAATATAAGACCAGAAACTATAAAACTCCTAGAGGAGAACATAGGCAAAACACTCTCTAACATAAATCACAGCAGGATCCTCTATGACCCACCTCCCAGAATATTGGAAATAAAAGCAAAAATAAACAAATGGGACCTAATGAAACTTAAAAGCTTTTGCACAACAAAGGAAACTATAAGCAAGGTGAAAAGACAGCCCTCAGATTGGGAGAAAATAATAGCAAATGAAGCAACAGACAAAGGATTAATCTCAAAAATATACAAGCAACTCCTGAAGCTCAATTCAAGAAAAATAAACGACCCAATCAAAAAATGGGCCAAAGAACTAAACAGATATTTCTCCAAGGAAGACATACAGATGGCTAAAAAACACATGAAAAGATGCTCAACATCACTCATTATCAGAGAAATGCAAATCAAAACCACAATGAGGTATCATTACACACCAGTCAGGCTGGCTGCTATCCAAAAGTCTACAAGCAATAAATGCTGGAGAGGGTGTGGAGAAAAGGGAACCCTCTTACACTGTTGGTGGTAATACAAACTAGTACAGCCGCTATGGAAAACAGTGTGGAGATTTCTTAAAAAACTGAAAATAGAACTGCCATATGACCCAGCAATCCCACTTCTGGGCATACACACCGAGGAAACCAGATCTGAAAGAGACATGTGCACCCCAATGTTCATCGCAGCACTGTTTATAATAGCCAGGACATGGAAGCAACCTAGATGCCCATCAGCAGATGAATGGATAAGGAAGCTGTGGTACATATAGTCAATGGAATATTACTCAGCCATTAAAAAGAATTCATTTGAATCAGTTCTAATGAGATGGATGAAACTGGAGCCCATTATACAGAATGAAGTAAGCCAGAAAGATAAAGACCATTACAGTATACTAACACATATATATGGAATTTAGAAAGATGGTAACGATAACCCTATATGCAAAACAGAAAAAGAGACACAGATGTATAGAACAGACTTTTGGACTCTGTGGGAGAAGGCGAGGGTGGGATGTTTCAAGAGAACAGCATCAAAACATGTATATTATCTATGGTGAAACAGATCACCAGCCCAGGTTGGGTGCATGAGACAAGTGCTCGGACCTGGTGCACCGGGAAGACCCAGAGGGATTGGGCGGAGAGGGAGGTGGGAGGGGGGATCGGGATGGGGAATACATGCAAAACCATGGCTGATTCTTGTCAATGTATGACAAAAACCACTACAATATTGTAAAGTAATTAGCCTCCAACTAATAAAAAAAAAAAAAAAAGAGCCAGACACGACTGAGCAACTGAACTGAAATTATACTAATGGGTTAACACTCCAGACCACACACTTCAAGTGTGATATATATTGTCCTAGGATGGTGATTATCCCTCAGTCTTGAATACCACTTCCAGAAGAAGATGACTATGCAAATGACATATTCCATAATGAGAGATAATGTGAGGGGACAGTTGGAGTAGTTATAACATCAATCATGTGTGTATGTGAAGTTCAAGATGTATGTGATATTCATCCACTATGCAAGCATTTAGTGAGCATTTACTCTGCTAGGTGCTAACCACAAGTTGGTTAGCAAAGTATACATGGTCATTATATTCAAGCAATTTCAGAGCTTATTGGCAAAGTAATGCACTAGGGGAGCAGCAGTTTGGAAGTATTAGTGTTTGAGCACTATATTACAAATCCCTTGGTAATGGTGAGAGTAGAGGCAATAAAGAAAATCTGCCTTTCTCTTCACACTTAGTTTGGAGGAAGCAATGTCTATAAAAGAGTAACTATGTTAGGAGACATTTTTTAAAAAAAAGAACAAAATAAAGGAAATAGAAACGTCAACAGCTTCCTGAATGGAGGGAGTGACTTCATCAGGGAGGATAGAAACTATCTAATATAGTGGTGCAGCCTGACAACAACCTGTGGGTATAAAGTAGATTTTGGAATATCAGTGAATTGAATGTAACTAAAAGAAAACACTTTAAGGGAAATGCCAGGCAGTACAAGTAAATGAAAGCTCTATAAGGGAGAAAAGAAGATTAGCAGATCAGTAAATATTTGATGACTTTGGAAGGATCACAAGGCCACATAGGAAACTGAAAACTCATGAGAATTCTGTATTAACACAATTGCAGGCTGTTGGATTGGGGTGGGGAGTATGGAACATGTAGAATTTCAGTTTGTTTATAATAACTGTCGCTTAGATAAACTCCTTTGAAGAGCAGTAATAATTTACTCAGTTGCTCATATTGAGTTTGTGGATATAAATGTGATCTAAAAAAAAAGAAATATTTCTCTTTGTGTATTTCATCATAAAACATGTTCAAAAATTGCTCTGATTATGAGTTAATTCACAAAATAATTATAAATATCTTGCCTCTCATTAGACTTAACTAGTTTTCCCCTATGTATCAAAGCAGTAGGCAACCAATAAAAATTTAGTAAACTAAAGACTAAGTTCATTAATACTCATTCCCAGAATGGAAAATATTAATAATTTGTTTTTACTGCAGTACTTTATCAATTGTAGCTGCTCAAAAATATTAAGCAATTATTTGCTCATTTTCAACTTACTTATAAGAAACATTTCCTAAGTCACTTACCTGCTCCGATTTGTTTGGGCACTACTTTCTGACTTCGATCTAAATAAAAATAAAAATGTCTAAAAGTTAATACGAAGAAACATGCCTACCTTAAGAATGACAATCAAGCATTTTATACCCAAACTACTCTAGTTGAAATGTACATATTCCATTGGGTTATGCTATCATCCCTCACTCAGTGTAGGTAAATTAATATCCTAGAAGAGATGAATTATGTTGACAAGGTTTCAGGATGAGAGATAATATGAGAGAGAGAAATGGGGCAGTTAAAATGTTATACATACATATGTGTGTGTGTCTGTGTATTTGTCTTTATACTTTTATGTTTGTGGATTTTTTTTGTCTGGCCACCTGTGTGCATGTCTGTGGAAAAGATTAATTAATTAATTACTTTATTCAACAAATGTTTATTGAGCACTTACCATAAACCAAGAACTCTTGCTACATGCTGGCTATGCAGTGTGGAGCAAGATAAATATGGGCTTTATCCTTTATGATAACAGTGTAATAAGACATACATCCAATGTGAGGAAAAGGTAACTATGTTTAAGGATCCCATGATAACTCCCTGACACTGAGAGGACATACTAATGAAAATCGATTTTTCTTTTTAGCTTAGTGAGAGTAACTCATGACTCCATAAGTGTCACTGAAAGGGAAAGATCATAATAATGAAAGAGAGAGAAAGGATGAGAAAAGAAGGCATTATAATGGAAGAGGAAGATCTATTCAGAATAAGTGAAATTAAATGGACCTGATGCACAGCCTAGACATCCTACTCTGTATGTTTGGGTGTGTCTGGGACAGCAGTATACTTTGGAGGAAGCTGGGTGGAATCACGAGGGCACAGGAGCGCACTCCAGTATTCTTCCTGGAGAGTCCCATTGACAGAGGAGCCTGGCAGGCTATTTCCACAGGGTTGTAAAGAGTTGGACCCCACTGAAGCAACTGAGGATGCACACACGCACACACACATGTTGACTAACACCATCCCAAACTGTTGGATGTGGAAAACTAAACAATTATTGTATTATTACACAGACATATCCACCTTTCAGGAAATGGAGGGAGACTTAATTAAAACTACTTTGTAATTGTATGTATGGCTGAGTCCCTTTGCTGTTCACTTGAAACTGTTACAATTAATTTTTGGTTAATTAGTTATACCCCAATACAGAATAAAAAAGTTTTTAAAAAACTACTTTTTGTAATTCTAAAAGGCTATGTAACACACAGAATTATTATTTCCTTTACAATCTTTTTCTTCAGCAAATTTTTCTCAAGTGACCAGGGTAAGCACTCATTCAGTTGTTCAAGAGAAAACATATTGGGTTTCTACAGTCTCCAAATAAAGAATTGAACTTCTCCATTTATGAGTTAGCACCATAAACCTTTCACCATTCATTTATTCCTTTGTTTCCCCAGAATAAACTCCCAAAATACATTAAAAAACTGAAGAAAGCATTTATTTATTTAGGCAAACACTCACTAGTTACTAGGTTAGAAAATACTAAAAGAAATTTGTGTGTGTGTGTGCTGTGCTAAGTCACTTCAGTTGTGTCCAACTCTGCAACCCTATGGACTGTAGTCTCCCAGGCTCCTTTGTCCAAGGAATTCTCCAGGCAATAATACTGTAGTGGATTGCCATGCTCTTCTCCAGGGGGTCTTCCTGACCCAGGGATTAAACCTGTGTCTCTTATGTCTCTTGCATTGGCAGGCAGGTTCTTTGTTCACTACTAAAAATATTAAAGGGAAAGAGAACCAACCATCTCTTTTAGAAGCTATATGTGTAGTATACCTTATCAATTGTTGCTGTGCAATTAATACTTAGCAATTACTTGTTGAATATCAATTCGTTCATCTTATCTTAAGAAATCCTTTCTAATTCACTTACCTGACAGTATCTGATTGACTGCTACTTTCTGATGTGGACCTAAATGCAAGTGAAAAACAATGCTTCAAAGTTAATACTTTAAAAAAAGTGTGCCTCCATAATAAATGAATGTCAGGCCATTTTGTAACCTACATTCTTTTATACTACTAATCACCGCTAACGAATTGTTTCAAAAGATTACTAAGTTACAATCTGCAAATAATAGCATTGTTTTTTATCCATATACCATGTCCATAAAGAACATAGATTTCAAATTCCCAAATAGAAAGAAGAGCAAGAAAATTGATTTGTCACTTCTCAGTACAGAGTATATGCTTGATTCTGAATACCTGATTCTGGCCTCTAGGTTCTACCCTAATGTGTTACCCACTGGTAAACAAATTACTGCAGGTGGTGGTTGAAAACCCTCACTGACTTCTAAACAATTAGGCAGACTGTACTGACAGGGTAATCTCCACCTCCTATTTGACACATAGAGAAATGGTGAAAAAATAACACAAAATCCAATGAAAATTTAAGGGAAGGAAGTGATATTTCTAATGATAGTTTGAAAAAGAGGAAATAGAAAGCATAAAAGGTAAGTGGGAAAATATTGGGTCAAGTTCCTGATTTTTTACAAAAAATCTTTACCAGAACACATTATAACTAAATAACAACTCCAAGGCCAATGTATATATGTAGAGGTTGATATAAGCAGAATTCGAAAATGGCCCCTTAAGATTCCCATTCCTTGGTTACTTAAATACTCTTCAAACTATTGCTCTGAAAAGATTTTGCAAATATAATTAAAGCTCCAAGTCTGTTGGCCTTAAAATCCAGAGACCAAGTGGGAGCTAAGATGGTGGAGGAATAGGACGGGGAGACCACTTTCTCCCCCACAAATTCATCGAAAGAACATTTGAACGCTGAGCAAACTCCACAAAACAACTTCTGAACGCTGGCAGAGGACATCAGGCACCCAGGAAAGCAGCCCATTGCCTTCGAAAGGAGGTAGGACAAAATATAAAAGATAAAAAGAGAGACAAAAGAGTTAGCGATGGATATCCATCCTGGGAAGGGAGTCTTAACAGAGGAAGTTTCCAAACACCAGGAAACCCTCTCACCGGTAGACCTGGGGGAAGTTTTCGAATCTCGGAGGGCCACCTAACCTGGAGGAAAAATAAATAAATAAAACACACAGATTACATGCTTAAAGGCAACTCCCAGCAGAAACGTACCGCAGACGCTCTCATCTGCCACCAGCAACTGGGGGCTGAACGGAGAGGAGCCAGCAGCATTACTTAGGGTAAGGACCGGGCCGGAATGCCCTGAGGGCAATCTGAGGGAGCTAACGCGAGATAGCAACCTAAACTGTGGGATAGCAAGACAGAGAGAGAAAGAATTAACCTGCAAAAAGCCCTAACCTAAGGCAAGAGAAGGCAATGGCACCCCACTCCAGTACTCTTGCCTGGAAAATCCCATGGATGGAGGAGCCTAGTAGGCTGCAGTCCATGGGGTCGCTAAGAGTCGGACACGACTGAGCGACTTCACTTTCACTTCTCACTTTCACACGGAAATGGCAACCCACTCCAGTGTTCTTGCCTGGAGAATCCCAGGGACGGGGGAGCCTGGTGGGCTGTCGTCTATGGGATCACACAAGTCGGACACGACTGAAGTGTCTTAGCAGCAGCAGCAAGGCAAAGCCGGCCCATTTGCAGAACAAAAGACTGATCAATACCAGAGAAGAGCTAGCTGGCTGTGGACCGGCCCATCCCCTGCTGGAGGTAAGGGGAGGCGGGCGCCAGCCAGAGTCGGAAAGGGGCAAACTCGGCCCCAGAGAGGGCATCCCCTACCAAACTGCAAACAGGATTCCTGTTTCCAACCAAAGACTTCCTGAGATTCTGGATGGTTTTCATCCCCCGGGAGGGTTGCAGCCAGAGATCAGCTCCCCAGAAGAGACACAAGGGGCACCAGACCGGGAGCGAGGGGAAACTGAGGCGGGGACAGGGAGGGGAGAAGCCGCGCTGCACCTGAAGAGAGTGCGCTCATCAAGCACCCAGTTGCCTGAGCTGCTCGGACCGGGAAATGGCACAAAACGCAGGCCCAACGGAGTCTGCGTCTTTGTGGAGTACCCCAGAACCTGAACCTGAGCGGCCTGGGCCTGGGAAGTGCACATAACGCTGGGCCCGCTCCCTGTAGAGCAGCCTGGAGCCTGAGCAGTGTAGACGGGGAAAGCACACACGCCATGAGCGGTGGCAAACCCAGTGTGGCCGGAACACTGCGAGCGCTCCCCACACAGGCCAGTGACATTTGTCTGCAGCGCCCCTCCCTCCCCGCAGCACGACTGAACCAGCGAACCTAAACAAGAGACCACCTCCGCCCGCCTGTGTCAGGGCGGAAATTAGACACCGAAGAGACCTGCAAACAGAAGCCAAATAAACAAAGGGAACCGCTTTAGAAGTGACAGGTGCAGCAGAATAAAACCCCCGTAGTTAACACCGAGAACACTGGAAGGGGCCTATAGATATTGAGAAGTATAAGCTGGAACAAGGAACTATCTGAAACTGAACTGAACCCACACTGCCCACAAGAGCTCCAGAGAAATTCCTAGATATATTTTTACTACTATTATTTTTTTATTAAAATTTTTTTCTTCTTTTTTTAAGTCCTCTATTACTCCTTTAATTTTCATTTTTATAACCCACTAATACCTTGCAACAAAAAAAAGGACCCCATTTTTAAAGCGAACTTCATATATATTTCTTGTACTTTTTCTGGTTTTTTTTATATTGCATTTTTAACAGTCTAACCTCTACTCTAGATTTTTAATCTTTGTTTTTTAGTATTTGATATCAGTTTTGTAGATTTAAGAATCCAATCTTCAGTACCCATTTTTACTCAGGAGTGTGATTACTGGCTTGATTACTCTCTTCCCCTTTTGACTCTCCTTTTTCTCCCCCAGGTCACCTCTATTTTCTCCCTCCCCCTTCTCTTCTCAACCCAAATCTGTGACTCTGTGGGTGTTCCGGGCTGCGGAGAACACTTAGAGAACAGAGAATGGCCTAGATCTGTCTCTCTCCTCTTGATTCCCCCTTTTTCTCCTCTTGCTCACTTCTATCTCCTTCCTCCCTCTCCTCGTCTTCATGTAACTCTGTGAACCTCTCTA